GCTCGGCACAGTGCGGAAACGTGCAGGGCTGGAGAGGAATAACATGTATTTCAGAAATAATTCATTACATTAACGTATTTCCATTCCACCAGGAGAGAACGCGACGGAGCCAGACTGCCTGCTTGACAGACGCGGAGGAGTTGCTGTGCGATAGCTAATGAAACAGTTTAAAGAAAACTCACACACCCTGTCCTCGAGAGGCTTGTTATTTTCAGAATGAAGAGGGTAAGCCACAGCATTTTTCCTTTTCCGTGCTTTCCTGAAAGGCAGGTCCCCACACGCGTAGCTGGCCACGGGAGCTTCCACAGGCACCCATGGGTGCAGCCCCCCCCCCCCCGGGGGGGTTGAGGATTTTGCTCCCCAACCCCCCCCCTCCCACGGGGGTTTCCCCACGGACACGCTCGATGCCAGGATGGTTTCCCCAGTGGAAAAAACGGTTTCCCCATTTTTGTCACCCTCGCAGCCCCAGTGGAGCCCTTGGCGTTGGACCCTGGCCGAAACCCCGGCGTGGGGATAGCAGAGGGGAGCGGTGGGTGCCCCATGAGCGCACCGTGCTTCGGGGTGGCGTTGCTTTGCCTGCCGAGGTGAAGTGGGGAGGAACAGGGACGGGGCATCCCCAAAGCATCCTCGCCTGCGCCAGGGCTTTCCCCGAGTCTTGGCTTCTCGCTGCCGCTTGCTCACCGTGAGCTCCCAGCACTCTTCTTGCGCTCTCCCACAACAGGCACCGGAGGGGACCTGCTCCTGAACCAAACATCCTGGCGGGTGCAAGCAGGAATTGCTCCTGGATGGAGGCAGGAGTTCACCAGCGATGGGTCTCCCACCGCGCTCGCTTCCTGGAGAAAATCATCGGATGCAAATTCTGCACCGACACGAGCAGGGAGGCAACGAGCCAGGGTGGCTTTTGGGCATCTGCAGCCATGAAGGGTACAGCTAGAGCTGGACTAGAGCTGGCATTTCCCTCCCCACCCCGATTTCTTTCTTTTTCCCCCTGTAAAAAAATGGGAGCAAAACAGCAAAATACACCCAAGTGTTAAGAGTACAACAGGACTTTATTATATGAATTACTATTAAACATCTTTCAGAAAAAAATCACTTCTGGAAATAAATTCTAAAATAGCAACACTCACAAACGTCACAGATTTTTTGTTTTGTTCTTTTTAAACCACTTTGTGTAGAAGTGATACAAATGTCACTGAGAATTGTACATTTTTATTTAAGAAATGCATTTTGGCTTCCAAGCCGGTTTTAGTGGCCTTTCTACTCATTAGACCTGATTATTTTTTTTAAAGGACATAAAAATAATCACTGTTCATCCTCCATTAAAATGATGCTTTGTGCCTCCAAGATATTTTGAAATGGCTACAGAGTGACATCACTCAGAGAGGCTTTGCCTAGCCTAGGATATTTAAGGGCAAGTTGTTAGACTGTGTTAGCAAAGACATCCCCAAGCCCCTGCGAAGCGTACGCTGCCAGCCCGCTGCCAAACCTGCATGCTCACGGGTGCGGTGCCCACTTTCAGCGCAGGACCCTTCGCGGTTAGCGCACGTTGCCGGATCCACCCAACAGAAAACCTTTGCTGGCTGGGTAGACGGAGCCAGCGAGGCCGGGGGGTTCGCACCCACCGCCCGCAGCAAGCAGAGGTTGCACAGTGACACCCGTCCCCTCCCCGCGGCCCCCGCGCTCCAGCTCGCAGCCCCCAAGCTGCCCTTCCTCTCCGCGTTTTCTCACGGGACTGCAGCCCTGCTCCCCGGCAGGCAGCCCCGCGCGGGCTCCGTCGGGTCCCGGGTGCCATCGTAGGGAGCAGAGGATGTCGGACGCCTCGGGGCTGTGCTTGGCCAGACCAGCCCCAAGTGACAGCAGAGGCAGCTGCTGCCTCCGGGCTCCTCTCCACCAGCAAACTACGGCTGGGTTGCAAAGACGACTCAGAGGCAACACGTCAACTACCGTGCAGGCTGAGCAGACGGGCAGAGGAGGAACCGCGGCATTTACCACTACACCACTTGCTGCTGTTGAAGCCAGCGGTTCCAGCAGGACTGACCTGTGACGCGATGCGAAACGTGGCTTGCCCAGCGCTAGACTGCCAAAGAGAGCTCAACGCGATCCTCCGCAGCCACAGCACAACGCAGCCCGTCCTCCAGCGAGGACGAGGAGCACAGCAAGCCCTCCAAGGGCTCGGCAGCGGGAAGACCTGCTGCAAGTGCCCGGGCACAAGTGCTTTGCTGCCTCTCCTCCCCGCGCACCAGACCAGCCCTCCGGTAACAACCTCCTCGGCTGGGAGAAGCAGAATTTCCTTCCCGCAAGAGCCTGTGCTCCTGCCCGACTGCCTGTCGGTGCTTCCTGCGTTCATGGAAACTTTGCTGAAAGTTAAGCCCTCGGTAGCTAAGAGGCGCTGGAACATTGACAAGCTGATCCAGTTCCAAGCTTGATTTTCTTCCAAATATGCAGAGAGCTGCTTTGGACTGGAAGGGAGTAACGGCAGCCTCCTACGGACCCCAGCGCTAGCGGAGGGGAGGAAAGGAGCCCCTCCTCTCTCCACCAGTCTCAGGCTAGGAATAAAAGTCCCACCCAGGGACTAAAGGACCTTCTGTTCCCAGCGGCAAAGCCCCAGCTTCACACTTAGCCCCTTGCGCCTGCAGACAGGCTTGCGCCCCGAGCCAGGCGGGGACACACGCCCCTCCAGACACCCATCTCACCCCGCACGGCGCAGAGCAGCCCGGTACAAAGCACGCTGTACCTCTGCAGCACCTCCCGACAGCCGGGCACGGGGCAGGGAGCAGGGTGAGCTCAGAGCCTGCGCGCATCGAGGCAAGGCCAGTGTGGCTTGGGATGGCTCTAACGTGTTGGCCAGGTTGCCGCGACTCAAGGGATGCTCCTCTCTCCTTCCTTCAAAAGAAAAGGAGCAGACACCAAAGCTGGGATCAGCTCGGTGGGGTGGGTCTTCTGCCGCTTTGATTTTAGGAACCCAAAGCTTGCGCGCATCCCAGGGTGCTTCCAGCCCAGTGCAAACAGCCTGCCCTCCCCCTTGCCACCCTGGGCTTTGGCCGAGCCCCGGTGCTGCCGGGAGCGCTTCGTTTGTGCCAAGGGGACGCTACCCGCACCCTGCAGCCCCAGGCCCCTCGAAGCAGCCCCTGGCCAGGGACCAGGGAGGGGGTGAAGCGCACGGGTCCCCACCGATCCCCGCCGCGGCTGCGGGGGCGACGGCCGCGGCGCTCAACAGGTGCACCGGCTGCGCCGCTGGCGGGGAAAGAAATCTTGGCGTCCACTTCAAAGGCATGCGGGCTCCGGGCGGGTTTGAAAAGGAGCCTGTCGGGAGCCAGTGCCTGCAATGTGGGCTTTTGTTACCAAACCCCGCCGAGAGGCAGGGAAAACACTTGCGTGTGTGTTTGATGGCTGGGGTTTCTGCGTCTGCCGCCTTCGCAGCTCCAATCTTGCAACATTTGTGCTGGTTCGCAGGAGCCAGAAAGTGAAACAGGCACGTCTATAGCCACCTCCTGCATTTCGCAGTAAACAGATTATGCCGATAAAGGAGCAGAAAATGTGCTGGCGGGAGCGATTTCTGACTTTACGCTCGTCACTCATTACTTACACAGGGAAGGAATTTGTTTACGTAATTATTTTTAGCCTGACAGCATCTCTGAAAGCTGCAGTGATTCAAGCACTGCCTGCCAGCCCCCCCAGCTCTCCACCGTCCTCCCCAGTAAAACGAGCCCCCGGGGCGGGCACGAGGAAGGGTGATCTGCTCCCGCTACTGGGCCAGCCCCGGCCCTGCCCCAAAGCCGGCAGCGCTTGCAAGCCCTTGTGCAAACTCTCCGTGCCAAAAATACCTCCACCAGCCTCAGCTGCAAAGCCTGAGCTTGGAGGTTTGCATCTTACCTATGGCAGGGGGCATCCCCGGAGCCGCCGAGCGCCCTGCCCGGCAGCTGGCACCACCAGCGGCACGCCGCACCCGGCGGGACGTGTCCTGCTTCGGCAGTGAGGGTTAAACTGATGCGAAATCCAGCCCTTGGTGCTGCCCCGCCGGCGGCACCGGCCGGCCGGGAGGTGAGCCACGCCGCGGCCCACAAAGCGTCCGGACTTCAAGGCAGTTTTAGCAATGCCAAAGGCAAAGGTTTAATTCAAAGTGAAACGCCTAGGAAAAGAAGGCCTTTCCTTTTATAAACAATTTATATTATTTGACCATTACCTGATCTGAATCTCTGCTCGTTACTCCTAGCAATAGTAGACAACGGCTGTTAGGTTCTCTTTCTCACGTGGTTTTTTTTTTCCTGTGTGCGCAGAGTAAAGTTACATCAGATCGCTACAGAGAGATGTTCAGGAGTGCTCCGGCCAAGCAGATCCCACATGTGAATGCATCCCTGTTAGTACAACTGATTTTCATTCCTCCTGCAACGCCGCTCGGACCGAGAGAGCAGGCGGGACGCTGCTCCTCCCAAGTCTGAGCTCCACGGGCTCCTCCACAGCAGCTCACATCAGCTGCCGACTTTTTTTTTTTTTTTTTTTTCCTTTTTTTTTCCTTTTTGGCTGATTTGCTAGATAGGAGAAGTTGCTTTCAAACCGCTGGTAAGAAAACATTGTGCCTCACTTCAATACTTGTACTTCAGAGGAGTACAACAGCAGAGGGGGAACAGCCAAAAAACTGGGTTATTTGTTGGGTGTTTTTTTTTCCTTTTTCAGCCATCTTCTTATGAAGCCTGGTGCACGTTCTGTGCCAGCAATAAACCCCAGCGCTGGGACCTGGAGGGGAGGAGAAGGGAGGGAAGGAGAACGGCACGTGCTCAGCGTCAGTGGCATCGTGGCCAGCACCAGCACCGGCCCATCGCGGCACCCGGGGCTGTGACCAGCTGCAGCACCCACAGCCACCAACGGGGCTCGTCCCCACCCGGACACGCTCTGGACCTGACCCAGAGCACCTGGCTCCCTCCTGCAGCCAGGACGGATGGATGGACAGGGCTGTTTGCATGCTCACCGGGAAGCGTACGTCCCCAGGTGCCTCTTGCCGTTTACTGCCCTTCCTTCGGCGTCTCCTCCTCCTCCTGGAGCTGCTGCCTCCGTGCTTGGAAGTCTTCATCTGAAAGGCAGAGGCAGGCGGGGGCTGGCAGGGGCTGCAGCCGCTTTCACACCGGCCACGGCACCATAGTCCCAGCCCCAGCGGGTGCCCCAGCCAGGAGGCAGCCCGGCCCCTGCCCTGGGGCAGGGATTTCCTCTCCCAGACAGACAGACAATTCCCAGGGACAGGGACACAGGGACTCTCTGCCAGAACATGCCTGAGAACATTGGAAGGAGGTTTTGGCCCACGGGGGCATTTCTGCCACGCAGTTGCACCCTTGGCAGACCCAGGGTGGTCTGGGCTGGCACAAAACCCACTGCCAAGAGCCACCTCTGTGCAAATCTGGCTGATGACAGACTTGCCAGGACTGTGCCCCGACCCCACGCTACGCACCCTGCAGCGCTGCACATCCCGGCTGCAAGCCCCCGAGGCTCCCCAAAAGAGATCCCGTCCCCGGTCACCCCAGCAAGCACATGCTCACAGGAGAGCTGCGTGGGACGAGGGGCGAGCCCGCTTCACAGGTGGCCATGCCCCGGCACGGACCTGATGGGAGCCATCCCCAAGCAGGGCGACAGCGTGGGGCAGGACGGGGCCGGGCACTGCGGGACCTCAGCCAGCCGTGCTGAGCACAGCATGCACGGCACAGCATGGCACGGCATGGCACGGTGTTTCTTACCGCATGAATGTCCTTCGACATCGTCGAGAAGATTTGCTGTGGAAGCTGCCGTCCCCAGCCTGCACCCTCCGCTAAGAAAAACCAGTCATGGGGCCAGGACATGGCCGCAGCACAACAATTGCCCTTCCCAGCCCATGGCCCAGCCGCGAGAGGCAGCCAGGAGGCTCCGGCCAGACCACGGCCTTGGGGAGTCCCCAGCCGCTCCAACAGCCCCGCAGCCCCCCGCAGCTCCCCAGCCCCTTTTAGGATACACCTGGTGCTTCAACAAGTGTTTTCTTTTTGATTTCCTCATCTTCGTCTTCTCGGAGAAGGCTCTGGCGAGTTCAAAAAGCTTCTTGCGCGTGGCTGGAAGGAAGCAGCCAGGTGAGGGTCTCAGCCCAATACCCTTCTCAAAGCTGCCACGGGCGACAGGGAGAAGACAGCCAGGGCCAGCGGTGTGAGAGCCACCCGTGCCCCAACGCCCCACGGTGATACCCCGGGTTTGCCTGGGAACACCAGGGCTGCACAGGGCTGCCAGGCTCGGAGAGCCGGGTCCTGCAACCATCAGGGACACGTTGGTCCCTGGCAGGGGGTGCTGACATTTTTACCCTTTCACTGGGATTTTCATGACCTTCCCTACCCCTGACTGACCCACATATCCCCAGTGTCCCAGCTGGCTGCAGCCCGACTCAAGCTGCCCAAAGACCTTGGTCTATTTTGCGACAGGAGAAGCGGGCTGTGACTTGCTGAAAGGAAAGGATCAGAAAAGGGAGAGTTACAGCAAACCCTCTGCTTGCTTTTCTAGCATTCACACAAACCCTGCTCAGAAATTCCTCTATTCCCCCGCACCACTTGCATCCTCAACTCACACCACAACCGACAAGTGCACCAGGGACGGACGGACAGTGCGGAGCTGGGGCATCAAGACCCAGGTCTCCATCTCCTGTCCGTCGTGCTGGCTCCCAGACTCGGTGCATGGCCCAGGAGCTCCCTGTCACTGGTGAGGGCCAGGGGGAGGGCACCACAGGGCGGGGATGCACCAGCCCAGGACTGTAAAATGCAGATGGAAACTCAACCCCAAAGCACCGCTGCTGGGGCTGAGCACCGCCTGAGCACAATGTGCCACCGCAGCGTGCAATGGCCTGTACCTTTCCCACCAACGTGCCAGCCCTCTGTGCGGCTCGTGGGGTAATGGGGACGTGTGTGCCCAGCTGCCGAGAGAGGTGACAAGAGACCCCCCACGCACACGTGCTAGCAGACGTGTGTGTGCCAGCTGACGTGCATGCACCGGCACACGCACGCAGAGCGGACATGCTGCACGAACGGGGAGCGCCGCATCGCTTGGGTGAGCGCCAGGCGACGCTGCCGGCTCTTCCCCTGCCTGCCCCGCTCCCACCTCCCCTCCAGCCCTCGCAGGCGTCCCGCTGCCAACACCGAGCCTGCAAACCGACTCACATTTTCCCATGTGTTTCAATTTGTCTCTGAATAAGGCATCGTCAGACACGGCACTGCCGGCCTCGCTGGTTACAGATGGGGCTACGTCACCTGGAAGGCAAACATCTGGTCACCGGGAGTGCGTGCACGGCGAGGGGAGGCTCAAGACAAATAATTTCCATGATCCAATTCCAGCGCTAGCAAAACACAGCGCTGCCATGAGCGGAGCTGAGAAAGCAGGCAGGGAGGGCACTGGCATGCCAGGGCTGGCTCTGGACGAGGACCCTCTGCAGATATCACCCCCCGAGACCGTGGGTGCAGAGACGTCGGCTTGCAGCACACCCTCAGCCCCGCAGGGCTGCTCACCAGTCCCACCACCAGCACCGCTGCAGAGCAGGAGGCCTCCTTCTGTGCTGCTCCCTAAATTACCCCGGGCACTAATTGCACTCTGGGTATTAGATCGTGCCCATGCTCAGTACCCGGGATGGCAGGGCCACTGGATCAGGAGCAGAAAAGTTCAGGCATCCCAGCGAGTCGGTCAGGCGGACCAGAGACCCCAGTAGCCACGTCCTTGTGCCCCCTCCCCTTGGCCCATGCCCCTTCCCGAGGTCTGGGTGCTCTCGAAGCGCCGTGTGCCCAGCTGGAGCTCCGCCATGCCGCCCAGCCACGGCGTCTCACCCGCCCCCGCACGGGGACATCGACAGACACCAGCTCTAATTCTGAACCCGGGCAGCTGCTCCCCTCCCCGAGGTTAATCAGGATTACCCAGGAACAGTCATTATGCCTCGCAGGCACAATCCTCCACTCCGGCCAAGACAAGGGAGGGCTTTGTCTCCACTGGGAACTGGATCCCAGCTCCCACCCACAGGGATGGACGGAGGCAGGACGCAGGAGCACCTCCACGTGGGGAAGGCAGGGAGGGCAGCAGCACCCATCTCCATCACCCACCAGCTCCTCTCCCATGCTGGGAGGGCAGCGGGGAGGGATCAGCCAGGGCTGGGAACATAGGAGCTGCTGAGGTGACGCTCATGTGCATCTTGAAAGTTACCTGATATTACGGAGGAGAAACCAAAGTCGTTGCTGACAGCAACACTGGTCGACTTGGATTTTTTTGACTCATATTTCAATCGATCTGAAAAACAAAAAAAGTCCGGCGCCCTGCTCGATCAGACCTCCAAGGCAGCGCGTGTGGCTCTGCTGCCCTCTTCCCTCACGGCCCCCACGGCTGTGGAGGAAGAGGATGATGGCAAGGGAGGGAGCTCGGGCCTTGCTTCAGCACAGCGACCGCAAGCACTTCGGTGGCAGCCTGCAACAGCAGGCGGGAGCGCTCCCCTCACCGCAGCAGAGGAACCGCCTGCCCGCCACAAGCATGCGGCGAGCACACCAGTGGTTTTCCAGCTACGGCAGCCAGGGACAAGCCTTGCAGTGAAGGTGCTGCCAGGACCCTGCAAACCACCAGCGAGACGTCAGAGGGAGACGGCCCCTCGGCCATGGGGCTCAGAGCCGGTGGCAGCGCAAGGGAGGGGAAGGGCAGCTCTTTGCTCAGCGGCAGCAAAACCACCGGTAACCTCAAGCCCTCCCTGTGCCGCCGGGAGAGCAGCCGGTGACAGGAAGCGTGGTGACAGGGAAGGCGCAGTCATGGCAAAACCGCTCTCCAGTTCAGGCCCTGCCAGCACCTGGGGAGGGCACACAGCCAGGGAGGGTGCGCTGGCCAGGCTGGGCTCGGAGGGCATTTCCAAGGCTCCTTGCTATGGATTTTGCTGGGCTTTGCCGGAGACATTGCAGAGGGGTGGGCAGGGGGAGGAGAGCCTCGTGGCTGGCGGCTGAGCACCAGGAGCAGGAGCCTGGGGAGCGGCCCACTGCCCGGTGTCAGCGGGTCAGACCACCTGCCACCAGCCTGGCCGCATCCTGCGCTGGCTCTGCTTTGGCACGAGCCACGATGCCACGGGCAGGGCAATGGTGCCAGCAGCCAGTGTCACAGGGGAGGCACGCACCCAAAAAGCGGAGGCAGAGGTTTCTGAAGGCGCTTCTCACCTCTCTCCAGGGCGAGGAGGAAATCCCTGTTCCTCTGGAGCTCCTTCATGAACTCTTCGTTCTGCAGGAAGAGCGCGATCCGCTCGTCCTCCAAGTACTGCTTCCACCGCCGCTCCTGCTCCAGGGAGCCCTGGCCCCGCGGGGCAAGCCCCTGTGGCACGGGCTGCCGGCAGCCGTGGGAGCCCTGGGCAGGAGGCAAACACAGCAGAGGTCGGTCAGTGGTCTCGGTGCCTGCACTGGTGCATGCAGGAGGCTCCATCAGCAGCACCTGAGGCTGAGCTTGGCCTTTTGCTCCTCTGTTATGCCACCACACCTCCAGCCCTGACGGCCATTGACTGCTGCTCCCCAGCGGGGTCCCTCCCTCCTACGCCCAGCGCCCGACAGCCCGGGGCACCGTCCCCTCAGCCCAGGCTGTGCTCAGGACGGTGCTGCTGCAAAGGGGACAAAGGGGAACAAGGCACCACCGCCTCGGGGGACGGACATCCCACACCCTCGCGGTCCGGGGTCAGCATGGCACGGGGAGGAACCGGTGCCTCCAGGAGAGCTCCTTTGCAGAGCGCAGACTGGCAAAGATTTTTAACTTTAAACCGTGGGGTTGAGCCAAGACAGAACCTGGTGTGGAGGCAAGGGAGAAGGGTCTCAGCCAGTGCCGCTGCTTTTATTTCCCCCTATCTAAAAAGCAGAGACTGCAATTTCCCGCTGACAAATGTCCCTGCGCAAGGCACCTCATGCTCTCCCCCAGCTCCTGGCGCAGTCGCACCTGGGGAGCAGCAGAGCCGCACTCTACAGCTGCAACCTCATCCTCACCTACAATATTTATCTGATTTGTAGCTGCTCTGAGAGAGCCATAAAAAGCAAAAGCACACAATTACTGGGGAAAGAAAAGGGCAGCTGCTCCTCTCCTCCCCCTGAGCCCAAATGAATTGGCACGTTCCTATTCCCAGAAAGGTAATATAGCCCGCGAAGCTCAACTTGCAGGGCAATCATTTATGAAAACGTGGCAGGCTGCCTTTGGAGCCAAAAAGGGAGGGAGGAGCCGATGCACAGGGAAGGCAGGGTGCCTGCAGCCCCCCCAGCCCCTTGCCATGCCAGGAGGGCGCTGGCCCCATTTGCGGGCTGGCTGCTGTGTTAGCACAGGGGCCGAGGGACGCTCCGGGGATGCGGCGTGCCTGGGGCCAAGCTGGGTGCTCAGCGCAGGCTGCGATGAGGCTTCTTGTTCCCCACAGGGTGCTGCCCGCTGCCTGCCCCGCTGCGGGCAGAAAGGCACCCGCAACCCCAACCCTTGTGGCTCCGAAACCACCATGAAGCACATGGGGACTCTGATTTCCCAGGCGCAAATCCTCTGGTTTGCACTACGTTTTCCATCCAAGTTACGCTGCACCAGCCCCTGAGCACCCTGGCAGTGCCGCTGTCCCCAAGAACGTATGCTGGTCCTGCTGCTCCTCACCAGGGTAGCAGGTAAGATTTTCAAATAATTTAAAATATTAGGTGCTTATTGCAAGTGGCATTTCTGGCACTAACCACTGAGCTAATGGCAGAAAAAACATCAAAGCCTCGCTGGAAGATTCTTGTTTCACACCTCGCTCACTTCAGTCTCACCTTGAACAACAAGAAGCGCTCCAAGACTTTCGGTTTAGTCCACACCTCGTACCCAGATGCTTTCAGAGCGCTGACACTGCAAGCTCAGGGTGGCCGAGGACTGGGTTTGGTGCCCCACACCACACCGTGGAGCTGGGGCACAGGCTGGAAGGGGCGGCAAGCCTCACCTGTGCGCCGGCGGTCTGCTGGGGCAGGATGCGGAGGAAGTCCTCAGGGAGGTTGCCCAGGAGCGGTGGGTTCCAGTTCCTGTAGCGCCCGGGCACTGGGGTGCTGCCAGGCCCCAGCACGTCCGTCCTGCAGGGCAAGCACAGACAGCACCTTTGGTGAGGGAGAAACCCACCGACATCAGCCGCAGTGGCAGGGGCACAGGGTCCAGCATGGCAGCCCCCTGCCCAGCTCCACCGCTGGTCCTGGGAACCAAGAAAGCACAGCACTCCTCCCAGACCCACAGTGTTAGCGTTGAGTGTGAAAGGCTTTCCTAGCGAGTTTGAAGTCTTTGGGAGCTGCTTTTCAAGCCTTGCCCTGCAACTGCACAGGCTGGATTTCCCTTCTCCTCCCTGTTTTGCTCAGACTCCCAGAAAACAGCCCTGTGGGAGCCCTAGCACTGCAGGATCTTGCTTATGAAGCTGATGAACGTCTCTCACCAGATGTCACACGCAGCCCGCACAGCTGGCAGTGCCTTCTTCCGAGGGGGCTGGCACAGAGGCGGCCCGGGCACTGGCGCTCGCTTTCCCACAAGTCCTGAGCCTACAGCCGAGGCGGTGCTGCCGGGGGAGAGCCCACACCTGCAGGGCCAGAGACCCCCGGGGGCTCGGCGACCCGGCGGCAGCAAGTCAAACTGACCCGAGGTCTCTGGTGCCGAGAGCCACGATGTGCTGGGCCCCGGCTGCCCAGCACCTGGTGTTTTCCAGCAGAGGCGAGCGCTCCCCGCCTCCAGTAGCTGATTTTTGCCATTCCATGCACTGCCAGAGCGGCTTTCCGGGCATTTCAGCTGTTCACTTTTTAGGGCCTCACAGGGATTTTTTAGCCAGCTGTGAGCTTCATTCATCTCCCTTGGCTTCGTCTCACCCAGCCCTAACGAACTGATGCCAGATGCCCCTTTGCAAGACCCCCTGGGCACCAGCGCAGGGTGCTTTGCCGGCCACCACGAGCAGAAGGCACGGTGCAGCCGCAGCATGGAGCTGGGGGCTCACCTGGGCGGCGGGGTGGGCGGCGCGCGGGGGCAGTGGCTGCCGAACGCCTGGCTCTCGTAGGCGGGAGGGGAGTAGACAGGAGGGGGCTCCTCGTCTGAGCTGTCTGGCTCCAGGGTCCGCTCCAAGATCTGGGGGGCAAGAGGACAGGGTGAGGGCGAGCTGTGGAAACACTCCCCGCTGGGCCGGGCCCCCACGCGTGGCAGCAAAGCAGGGACGGGACCAGCTGAACGCCGCTGCAGAGAGGATGGGGGCAACCTCCCGGCATCAGTCCCCCTGCACTGGGGGGCTTTTGGTGGGGTTTGGAGGTGCTGCTCTCGAGGGACGAGGCACCGCATTTCGGGTGGGCGGGTAAGCCTGTCCCTGGGTGCACACAGCCCCTGGGGGCCCTCTGACAGCAGCAGAAGGGTCTCTGTTGGGTTTTGGGGTGGAAGGGAGGGAGAAAAGTGCTTTGGCTTGAGCCTCAAGCACTGCCCAAGACAAAACAGCCACGCTGCACGCTCCAGATCAGTCGAATCAGGCACTGACATCTCTGCCCACCCGCAGCAGCCGAGTAGCACCATGCCCAGGCAGAAACAAGGCAGGATGAGACTGAGCTGCCCACTTGCCATGAGCCAGCAGTGGCAGCCAGGAGCCCAGGTATGGGACCCCCACCCATAGCCATGTGCAAGGGACCAGCGGGGGGGGCTACCTCAGGGGGAATGCTGTCCTCGGAGTCCGAGCTGTCGTCACAGCCACTGCTGTCCAGGTTCATCTGCAGGAGCTGGTCAATGGTGGCATCCACGGCACCATTGTTGGCCCTTAAGACGCACTCGATGATGTCGTAGTCCATGTTGGGGAACATGGTCTTGAAGTCCTCCATGGCCTGGTTGAACTCCAGCCGGCGGACCTGCCTGGCGGGGCGGCTGTTGTTGAGCTCCTGGGTGGAGGAGCCGCCGCGCGAGCTGCTGTTGCTGCTGCTCCGACGGAAGAGGCTCGTCATGGCGGGGCGGCTGGCACGGGGGCACAGTGGCTGCGGGCC